AATATGTGCTAATAAATATTTGAGTGGTGGTAGTAGTTAACCCACAGCACCATGCCAGGACTCCAATAGTTTTGTGCCGAGCAGTTGGTTCTGACTCATGGTGACCCTGTATAGGGTTTCCAAGGCTCTAAATCTTTCCTGGAGCAGAAAGCTTTGTCTTTGTCCCATGGCCCAGATGATAGAAAATTTGAATGAATAAAAAAGCTGCTCTCCCTGTTGATGGGAGCAATGATCTGCCCCTGTGGCTATTTGAAACTAACCCTTAGATCTCACTGTCTTGTCAGCCTATTTAAGTTCACTCCAATAGCAATCTTTTCTCCTACACCATTCTTCCCTCTTGTTCTAATGAAATATTCCAATCTGCATTGAATTATGCTATCGCCTTAAAAAAACAAAAAAACAAAAGAAAAATTCCTTCAGCTAACCTCTCCTTAAGGTAACTTCCATTTCTGTTTCCTTTTACATCAAAATTTTCAGTCGACTATAGTTGTTGCTCCACTTCAATCCCTTCTACTAAAGACTTTAAAATAACTAACCAACCTCATAATCTAATGGTTCTGAGTCTTCATTTTACTTATCAGTCCTTGAATTAATTGATCACTCCCTTCTTAAAAGTTTTCACTTTATTTTTGGGATACTACATTTTTCTGATTTACCTGAGAGCTCACAGATGGTTCCTTTGCTGGCTCCCCTTTCACATGTTTGAGTACCAGGACCCAATCCTCTTTCCTATGGATTTATATTTAGTCCCTAAACCAGCAGCACAGCATCAACATCTGAGCTAGTTAGTTAGAAGTGTAGTAACATCTGAGCTAGTTAGTTAGAAGTGTAGTAACATCTGAGCTAGTTAGAAGTGCAGTCCAGGGTCCAACCCAGACCTCTGAATTCAAATCTACATTTTAACAAAGTCAAGATTCAAAAGTCAAAGTACCAATCTAAGTATTTGAGCGAGTTCAGTCACATGACTTCTAGTTCTATTTACAGGCTGATTTCCAAATGTTTCTTGTCTCTCCCAACTTCAGTTATATACACAAATCAATGTTGGATTCCTTTTATTAGGCATCTTATACCAAGTACCAAACAGAAATCTTGTTTTCCCCCCACGCCAAAACCCTGACTTATCCATGACTTCCAGTCCCTGGCCAAAGTCTTGTTGTCAACAGTTGGATCACTTACTACACTCTACTGATATCACCCTAGTCTAAGCCAAGACTTCTGAATTTCCTACCTCTCCGATTTTGCTAGGTTCCCTACAATAAGCTCTGCATGCAGCATCCAGTGATCTTTAAAGAATGTAAATCAGACCACACTCAAAACACTTATTACGACTTCTTAAAATTTCTACCATGGCTCCTAAGAGTACCTCACACCCTATGCTCAAATGCTCTGCTTTAGTCAAATTGCAAGTTTGTTCTCCTCCCTCTCCTAAATCTCTGCCTGCCTTATTTTCTTAAAGACCTTCTTAATCACCCTAATTAAAACTCACCTCCCTTTCCATTCATCTTAAATCTCCTCTTTCATTTCCTCTCTCCACTTAGAGATAACTGACTCTTCTAACTAGGATGTATGGGATTTTTTTTCTTTCTGTACTACTCAGAGCAGAGCATGGCCCAAAATAAAGCATCACTCCTGTTTGTTCAATAAATGAACAAGGTTACCTGATGGTGATGAGCCCTGATAGCACAGGAGTTAAGCGCTTGGCTGCTAACCAAAAGGTTGGACAGTTTAAACCCAGCAGGCATTCTGTGGAAGATGTGGCAATCTGCCAACATTTAGACTTCAGAGATGTACAAATCTTGATATAGACTCCGCTAGCAGGAGTCCTGGTGTGGCGCTCTAGGATAAGCACTGGACTACTAACTGCAAGGTCAGTGCTGCAAACCCACCAGTCACTCCTAGCAAACCCTACACAGGGTCACCATGTGTCAGAACAAATTTGATGGCATTTAACAGCAGCAGTTTTCAGTAAGTTTAAATGTCTGACATATGGCAGTGGTTCCAAAACTTTACTGCACATTAGAATCACGTGAGGATCTTTTAAGACTTCTAACGCTTAAACCACATTCTAAATGAATCAGACCAGACTTTTGAGGGGGTGGGGCACAAGTATAGATGTCTATATAAATCTTTTCTGAAACTCCAGAGATAATTTCAATGTGAAATAAATTTGGGGATTACTGACATATAGTATGTTGTTGTTGTCAAGTGTTGTCAAGTCGGTTTCAACTCATAGCAACACTGTATAGGGTTTCTGAGGAGTGGCTGGCAAGGTCTGAAATGCCGACTCTGTGGTTCAAATTGACCTTGAGGTCCAGTACATTATCCTGCAGTGCCACACCAGGACTCCGGCATATGAGTAGTAACAATATAAAACAGTATGAGCTATAATGCTTAAAAAAATGTTATTTATACAACCTTGAAACTTCTATTTCCTATGTGGTATAGAAACAAAAAGAAACTCAGACATAAAACTATTCCGATATTAGGTATTTCAAAGAGCACACCTTCCAGAACTTTCCATATTTGCTTTCCTGTCAAGTCTAATCCCAAATTGCTCTGGTAGCATAGTCGTTACGAATTGGGCTGCGAACCTTAAGGTCAGCAGTTCGAAACTACCAGCTGTTCTGTGGGAGAAAAACGAGGCTTCTGCTCCCGTAAAGATTTACAGCCTCGGAAATCCTGTACAGGGTCGCTATGAGTCAGAACCGACTCCATGGCACTTAACACCCCTCCTCCCCCATATGTTAACACAAATTTAAGGAATACCAGTGTGGTACTGTAAGACAAGCACTGGACTGCTAACTGCAAGGTTAGCAATTCAAACACACCAACTGCTCCTTGGAAACCCTATAAAGGAACCAACTCTATACCAATAACAAAGCAAATTTAAGTATGAAAAGGTGCTGGCATCTACGTATGTCACATCTGAATGATTTGGGGGACTTTGGATATACTGATTTTTTTAATGGTGTCAGGTATATAGCTGTAATCATTCAAACAGAATGTCACTTCAGGAGAGAAAGGATTTCTTTATGACTCGATGGCACTTAACAAATAACTAAGACTACAATAAAATAAATTCTTAGCCATGCTGTCCATTATTTCTCACTCAAGAAGTAAAATAATCAACTGGCTCTCATCATCAATCAAAATATCCTTAAGAAATAAGCTAATCAAATATTGTGCATTTATCCTGTCCCTAAACTCACCTTTAAACCTCAGATTGAAGGACATTAGTGAAAGATAAAGACAAGTCATTTCACTATCAAATTCCTAAAGATCCTCACCATAGTACAAACACTATGAATGTGAAGAGCCTTGGAGATACTTAAACCAACCTCAGTGACCTGCCACCCAGAGGTGAAATAACAAGCCTAAAAGTCACACAGGAGAGCTGGAAGAAGAAAAAAAACTTTTTTTTTTTTTTTTTCAAATAAGCAGACAAGATTTTTCACATGTCAGTCAAAGAATCAAGATCATCAGATGGGGAAAAATGAGGAATAGAACACAGAACATATGTTACACATTGATCCAAATGGCTGGTCAATCTGTTGCCCACTCCCCCCCACCCAAAGAAAAAGAAAAAAAATCCAAACATGGACATTTATCTAAGATGCTGACCCTTAAAATGTTAGAATCTTGGAAAATTCAATTTACAAATACATTATTAATTGCATTGTTATAATGAAATTAGTTCATTCAGGGTGAAAACATCAAACAGCACCAATACCAGTAAGTTAAGAAGGTAAATACACTTATATATACTTATAAGCAAGTATATATAAATACACTTATAAAATAATGTATAATCACTGATTGGAACAGAAATGAACTATCACCGCTAGCAAAACTATTT